TTTTTTATTTTTTATTTTTTTATTTTTTTTGTCTTTTTGTCTTTTGTCTGTGTCCGGCAACGGATCGCAACCCTCAGTGTTGCCAGAAAGGACATACAAAACAGACAAAAAAAAAAAAAAAATCCAAAAAATGATAGTAATAAGTCCCCACATATCAATAATAACATTGAATGTAATGGATTAAATCATACAAAACAGACAAAAAAAAAAAAAAATCCAAAAAATGATAGTAATAAGTCCCCACATATCAATAATAACATTGAATGTAATGGATTAAATTCCCTAATTGAAATGCACAGACTGGCTGAATGTATTTTTCAAAAAATCCAATTATATGCTGCCTACAAGAAACTCACTTCACTTATAAAGACACACACAGACTGAAAAAGAAGGGATGAAAAAAGATATTCCATGCAAATAGAAGCCCAAAGTGAGCAGGAGTAGTGATACTTATATCAAATAAAACAGACTTTAAACCAAAAACAGTAGAAACAAAGAAAGATATTACATAATAATAATTGGATTAATTCAACAAGAAAGTATAACAATTTTAAATATATACACACCTAACACCAAAGCACAGATTTTTAAAGCAAATACTATCAGATCTAAAGAGAGAGATAGACAACAATACAATAGTAGTTGGGGATTTTTAACATCCCACTCTCAGCACTGGACAGATTATCTAGACAGAAATCAACAAAGAAAAATCAGAAGTAAACTGCACTATCGACCAAATGGACCTAATAGACATCTATATCCAACAGAGGCAGAATGCACATTTTAAATATCAGCACATGGGACATTCTCCAAAATTGACTATATCTTAGGTTACAAAACAAGTCTGAACAGGCTTAAAAAAATTCAAAATCATATCAAGTATCTTTTCTGACCACAATGGAATAACTAGAAATCAACTACAAGAGGAATTTTGGAAACACTATAAATATAAGGAAATTAAACAACTCTTGAACAACCAATGAGTCAAAGAATAAATTAAGAAGGAAATTAAAAGTTTCTCGAAACAAATGAAGATAGAAGCACATACCAAACACTATGGAATAAAGCAAAAGCAGTAATAAGAGGAAAGTAATAAATGCCTTCATCAGAAAAAAAAGAAGAGAAAAATTTCAAGTTAACAACCTAAGAATGTACCTCAAGAAACTAGAAAAGCATGAATAAACCAATCTCAATGTAAGTAAAATAAAGGAAATGATAAAATTCTGAGCAGAAACAGATAAAATTGAGACAATAAAAACAATATGAAAGACTGATGAAACGAAAAGTTGGCTTTTTGAGAAGATAAACAAAATCAACAAGCCATCAACTAGACTAATAAAGAAAAAAAGAGAGAAAAGATCCAGATGAAGTCAGAAATGAAAAAGAAGACATTAAAACTGATACCCCAGAAATATAAAGAATCATTAGAGGCTATGATGAACAACTATATGCCCCAATACTGAAAACCTAGAGGAAATGGATAAATTTTTGGACACATATCACTTACAAAAATTAAACGAAAAGGAAATAAAGAAATCCTAAACAGACTAAGTATGAGCAATGAGACTGAATCAGTAATAAAAATTCTCCCAACAAAGGAAAGCCCAGGACCAGATGGCTTCACTGCTGAATTCTAAATTCTACTGAACTATTAAAGAAGAACTAATACTAATCCTTCTCAAACAATTTTAAAAAATTGAAATAGAAGGAATTCTTCCAAATTTATTCTATGAGGCCATTATCACCCTAATACCAAAATTAGACAAAGACCTAACAGAAAAAGAAAACTACAGGCCAATATCCTTGATGAGCACAGATGCAAAAATCCTCCACAAAATATTAGCAAGCCATATCCAACAGCACATCCAAACAATTATCAATCACGATCAAGTGGGATTTATCACAAGAATGTGAATATGGTTCACACAAATCAATAAACATGATACACCACATCAACAGAATGAAGGACAAAAACAACAATTATCAATCACGATCAAGTGGGATTTATCACAAGAATGTGAGTATGGTTCACACAAATCAATAAACATGATACACCACATCAACAGAATGAAGGACAAAAACAATATGATCATTTCAATTACCACAGAAAAGTATTTGATAAAATTCAACATCCCTTCATCATAAAAACTCTCAACAAACTAGGTATAGAAGGAACATAGTTCAACAAAATAAAGGACATATATGACAAACCCTAACATCATACCGAGTGAGGAAAGCTCTCAGTTTTTCTGCTAAGAACTGGAACAAGACAAGGATGCTCACTTTCATCACTCTTACTCAATACAGTACTGGAAGTTCTCGCTAGAATAATTTAGCAAGAAGTAAAGGGCATCCAAATTGGAGAAG